TGGTTTCTCTCATATTTAATAAAGTTTTCCTTTATTAATCCTAACATTATAATGTCCCCACACATTAAATGTTACAGCTTGTGACTTCACAAGTGTTACTGTCCTTTGTAATTGAAATAGTTTTGGGGAGTTTTACTACAATTGATATGAGATATTTTTTGGGTTCTTAAGAAGTTCAGGTAGGTTTTTCTGGATTATAGCTTCACAGGTTTGGTAGAGTTCTTGGTAGTCAACTTTTTTCAGAGATAGATTTACAAAAAAGTTGAACCCATATTTCAATAGTTGAGCAATTTGCCAGTATTTGAGAAGATTGAAGTCTGTAGACTTAAGATAAGCAATAAACAAAGTTTTGTTAATCAGTTTTTCATCTTTCAGAATTGTCTTATGGAAATCAGTTGTGTCAGCTTTAATTTTGAGAAAGAGGTTAATTATATCTTTGAATATTCTATCATATTTGTTGAATTATTTATATAGTTCCAGTATTTTTTTTTGTTTATTAAAAAATATATTGTTTCTAATATTGTTTGTATTAGTAGATAAGCTATTTGTATTGATTCTAGCACTTTGTTAGTTTTGTCTGTCTAGAAGTTGGAAAGGAATTTTAGAGTTTTCACTAATTGGGTTTAGGAGGAATAATTATTAATTTCTATATTGAAGTTAAAGTTAACTGGAGTATTTGAGTTTAGAGATATATGTGATATTGTGCAAAGTTGTTTGATAAGTATATAGTATTGGATACATATGGGCTGAAGTGATTGTCTATGTGCTCAGGAGATATTAAATATGTACTAGATTAATTATTGTTGTACTCAGGGGTAATTGCATGAGATATTTTATTATTAGAATTAAGTTGCATACTATTGTTAATGATCATTTTCTCAGTTGATACAGAAGTATTTGGAGAGGTATAAAGGTTTTGGTTTTTTGCTTCAAGATAAAAACATTTTTCTGTTTATTGATATTAATATCAATTTTATTTCAAGAAATATATAAGCTATAAGTAAGATTTAGTTTGAGAAGTTCTTTTATAATGCCTTTTTCTATTTGTATCTGATAGTTTAAATATATGTTAATATTCAAAAAAGAAGTTGATGGCTTCCAATAATATAGGATTAAGAAAAGATAATTTTACTTCTGTGTAATGATTATCAAGTCTCTTTTTGCAAACTTCAAAGAAAACTAAAATAACCTTCAGGTATTCATATTTATCTTCTTGAAAATAAATTGGTATAAATCAGATTTTAGGTGGGTTTTCAAATTTTGATAAGCAAGTATATGCAGTTGGAATGATAGTATAAATTATGTTGGTATTGTTATTTTTGTAAATAATTATAACAAGACATTTCTTAATATTGGTGATAAAAACATTAAGCAGTATATTTGTGGTTTAATGGATTGGCTTTTAAAAAATATGAACAACCTTTCAGGATTCTTTGTTGTTTTTTTTTAAAAGAAAATTTTATATTTTCTTATTTGATAGTTTTTCTTTTATGCATGATATTTGGGAAAAGGTTTTTTCAAAAATTTGTTTTATTATTATATTTAACAAATTATATATACAGTCTGGAACAAAAAAAATCATATTTAATATTTTTATTATAACTTTATAAAAAATTATTTAAATAATATAAAAATTTTAATATATATTTTTTAAAACTTAAAAAATAAGATTTTTTAAAGATTTTTTATAAAATATATTATTAAAATTTTTTGTAATTTTTAGATTAAAAAAAATTTAAATATTATTTTTATTTGTTATATGATGAAAATTTATTTATTTTATATAAAAATTTATAAATATAATTTTTATAATCTAAAGAAAATTTTTATTTAAGTACTTTTTATAAAATAACTTATTAAAATTTTTTATAATAACTTTTTTAAATAATAATTTTTAAAATAATTTTTAACTTACAAAAAAATTTTACTTCTTTAAATTTAAAATAAAATAAAAATTAAATAAATACATATTTTTCAATAAAATTTATATCTTTTTTTCATACATTCTAAAGAATATTTTTATAAAATTTCATAAAATTTAAATAATTATTTATTGAATTATAATTAAAAATATTAATTGAAAAAAAAGGTGTTTTTTTTTGTCCTGGACTGTATGTATAATACTTATTAATATACAGTATATAATTTAAAGCTTATTATAAAATTATATTAAAAAAGTTGGGATCATATACTGTATATGCTGAAACTAGTAGGCACTATGAGTATACAAATTAATAAAATATGTGACCTATTCAATTTAAGCTTTATTTGGCAAAACTCCAGAAACGTAGTATTTAGACTCGATTACATTTGGATATCTAACTATCTATAATCACAAAAGAATGACAAAGTATTGATATCAATACATGTCAAAATTTAGTAAAATCCATACAAAGCAAGGGTGACGCAATTGACTATTAAATATGTGAGCACCATTTTTTGTTATCGATATTATATTTTTTTTTAATGCATAATCCATATGGCCGGACGTCTCTATCTTGTGGGGAAATCCAATATTCACCACGACCAGTTTTCTGACTCTCAATTTTTACTAAATCCGATGGGTTCACTCTGTTTTGGAACACCGCAGTATATATCTTTCCGTTACATTCAAATTCTGGCGCATACATTTCAGCTACATTCAAATCAGGTGTTGAATAAATACCACGACCGAAAGCAAAACGCTTTCCCTTACTTAACAGATAACCATCCTCTGCAATTGATCTCACATTATGCTTTGCAGTACCATGATACGATACTGGCCAAGAATTATGATCTGTTCCGAGCCATCTATCATCCCCATCATCATACTTTCCGACAACCTTTAAGGCAAAGCGTCTCCATCCACATGGTTTTCGATATTCAATCCCTCCACGAAAGTGTTGTTTCCCATTATCACCAATATTTCTAAAATCGCGATCATAACGTGGATCCAAGGACTCGCGGTCTAGGTAATGTACAATAACACTTCCTCCATGAAGACGCAAAACAAGGTGTATAGTAGTTCCATGATCAATTTTATAGTCTGATACAGTTCTGCCGTCTTCTAATTGTTTGCCGTTACAAATTAAGCGTTGTTGGTCTGGTGGAATACCTACTATATAGCGAATTTTATGCTTTATTTCATCAATGATAGCATGAGTTCCAACTTCTATTACAATACATTTACCGGTAATTGTCATTACACGCAACAAAATACCATTTTTTGGCCTTTGGAGATTGTCAAAAATATCATGTCCTTGGGTAAAACTATCATAAAAAAAGTCTCCAACGACATTAATTTGATGAAAAGAATGCATGTCGACTTTTTGACGATGGATGCCCATGGGAGTATTGCTAAGTTCTTTTTCTGAAACAAATTTACCACCCGTTATTATAGCTGAGAGCGCAGCGTTAAGAAGATCGAGGTTAGACATCTTTGATGAATTTACAGAAATGACTGAAAAGATGGTTGATTTAAGGATTTTTAAAACGGAGTTTACGGAAAAACCTCACTAAAGAATTTTATTGTTTCTATTTTGGGTGTATGATACTGACTTACGATAAACTATTTACAGAAGGGTCTATCAACCATTATTCGCTTTGTGTTACAGTAGCAGTAATTAAAGTAGTAAAATTGTACTTGTGCGCACTAACAAAAGACACTTTATTTTGTTCAATTTATTTATTTAAACAAAAATTTGCTTCAAATTTAAATTTTGTACAAGGATGGGACTTAAAAGTGATCATACGAATGGTAAACGTCACACTGTGGAAAATCTCACGAATTCTTGAACAATTGGAGTTGAAGAAAAAATAGTGAAAGAAAACCAGTAGTCAGTAACCACTCTGAACAATTAGTTCTTTAAAGATCCATCAATTAGATAAATTCCAAAACATGTCTTATCTACCGAACTTTCACTTATTAGTAATAGACTTAAATTACTAAATTGAAAAAAAGTCCATCGAAATTGAATTAAAAAAGACTGGAGACATGTTTATGGACCAGTGAATTTAGTTATTAACATTGATTCTTATGAAAGAATTTATATTTGATGTCATAAATATGAACTATATAATTCAAACAATTGTTAAAAGTGAATGTAATTTAATAATGGTTTGGAGATGTGTAAATGGGTATAATTTACACTAGTCCAAATTGGGTTATTCGGCTGCCAAAGTACAGCCGATTAAATCCAAATTTATTAATAAAAGTTTATACCAAAGTTTTGTTGTTTGGTCCAATTTATGCCATTCGGCACTT